ATATAAAGACGCGGGATGATTACGCGTGATCTTTCGCTTCTATATTTGCAAGAGAGAGAGAGAGAGAGAGAGAGAGAGAGAGAAAGAGAGAGAGAGAGAGAGAGAGAGAGAGAGAAAGAGAAAGAGTGAGAATGAGAGTGAGAGTGAGAGAGAGTGAGACATCAACGTAATGCCAATGAAAACGTTAGAAGACACTGAGGGGAAAAAAGGGGTGATGCTTGAACACAAAAACACCGATTGATTGACCCTGACCCACTGCTAAATGAACAGCGAACACATTCCTGTTCTTAAATCTAAAATCTATTTCAAGGTCTTCTCTCTTCGTATATTTCCTTTTCACGATTGAATTTCTCCCTTTCATCGTATCTTAAAACGTGAAACTTTTTATCAGATTTGAAGAATCGATTATATCTTCTTCCTTTTTTTTTCTCTCTTCAAATTTTCAAAAATAACATCGACCTTTCAATCTTGAGACTAAAATCTTTTCCATAATAACGTTTCAAAAATTGTTCTTTCCTATTCCTTTTCCCTTCCTTTCCTTTTTTATTTCTTTAATTTTTATTTTTATCTTTTTAAATCTAAAGAAAATTAAATGACGAATATATATATATATATATATATATATGGAACAAGTATTCTCGATCGTATATATATATATATATATATATATATATATATATATCTATATATATCTATAATACGATCTTCGATAACATAATCGAAGACTTCAGCGTTACGTAATATTTTTAAATGAGAATATTGTGAATTTGTGAAAAGGATTAATTTTTTTTCTTTTTTCTTTCTAATCCATTCCGATTTTCTTTTCTTTTTTCTTTCTTTCCTTTTTCTTCTTTTGTTTTTTTTTTGGTCCTTTTCTTTATTTTCTTTTTTGTTTTTTTTTTCTTTTCGCTTATTTTCTAAATTAATAAGCTTTTATATACGTAACTGTTGTCAATCATCGCATTTATAAAATTATCGATAATATAAAATGTTGATAGCTCGATATACGCAACAAGGTCAAAGGTGAAACAGGATGAACATTGACAAACGACGATTTATGTGTTTGTGTTCGTTTAATAGACGATCGATCGCGGTTGGTCGGGCTTTGCGTAAACGGTAAAATGTTTACACAATAAATAAATTTCTCTTTAGAACAGACGACGAAGGTAACGTTTCTCAGTTTTATTTTAAAAACTACAATATCATGATGAAAGATTCGCGTTTACTCTTTAAGAGAGAATACACAATCGATCGAGATATTGAATTCTAATAAAAATTGCAAAAAAAAAAAAAAAAAAAGAAAAAAAAGAAAGAGAGAGAGAGAGAGAGAGAGAGAGAGAGAAACCGTAACAAAAACAAATAAAAAATTAAGAAAAGAAATAAAGAAGAAAAAACAAGCTACGGACATTTAAACGAAATTGCTCGATGAGTCACAAAGAGTCCGTATGATCATTAATGAAAATGGGTCGAGGTTTTTTTATCATTCAAGTCAGTCGAATGTCAAGATCATTAAATATTAAAGTCCTGAGTGCCAGTCACGTAATCACGAATCTATCTTGTTATTCGATATAATAGCGAAAATATCGATATTAAACTATATCGAAATGTCACGTAAGAAGCAAGAAACGTTTAGTTAATTTACTAATCATTTCTTGAATAAAAAAAAAAAAGATCTTTAAGTTCAATTAAATAATAAACGATCGTAATAATGTTTATGTGTATTTCGTCGCAACTTGTTTTTTTTCTTTTTTCTTTTATTATTTTATCAGCCGCGATAAGAACGACGATGCTTTTAAGATCACTCCTTGAATAAAGTAAATATTTAAAATCAATTAATAATAGTAATAATGATAATAATAATAAAAATAATAATATATCAAAAAGTAAAATTTTTTATCGTCGATATCATAGAAATCAATTTTTGTTTTTTATTTTTCCTTTCTTTTTCGTTTCAATTGTGTTACAAATGATAATATTTTTGATACCTCTCTTAGAATTCATGCGAACAAGATCTAAGCACAAATCATTATAAAATATTGTTCCTTTAGATGAAAAATAAGAAACATGACCACGAACTTCAGAGAAATATAATATCGGTCATTTCGTATATGTGTGTATGTGTGTGTGTGTGTGTGTTATTTCTCACACGACGCGAACACCATAATGGAAACCAGAATCATATGTCGTCGTTCATCTTCCTTTAATGCTCATCAGAAAGAATAGGAGGAAAAAAGAAGATCCAAAAAGAAAAAAAAAAAAAAAGAAAAAAAAAGCAAAAACAAAAAGAAAAAAGAAAGACAAAATTTAAGAAATATTAAAACCCGTAAAAATGACAAATCGATTTTACGGTTCGTTGATTTTTGCCTCAAGGCGAATATCTTCCAAACGAGAAGTAATATTTTAAAAAGAGAATAGGTCAGTGACAAAGATTTTATGAATTAAAAGATTCGAATGTATTTCTCGAATGAAATTTTATGATAATTTTGAAATACGATAAATTTCTTATAAACCTTTTATTTTCTTTTCTTTTCTTCTTTTTTCTCTTTCCAATCGATTTCATTAATAACGCTTAAAGGTTCGAATTAAATATTTCTAGAAAGTTTTTCTACAAACAATTAAAATAAACATTCGGTGATACAAAGAACCACAATTGAGATAAGCAAGTTTACAGCATGATAAGATTTTTTTTCCTCTTAACCTTCCTCTGATGCAGAATTAGATAATATTAAACTTTAATTAATTAATTATCTTTGAATATACATATATACATGCATAGAGAAAAAGAGAAAGAGAAAGAGAGGGCAGGGGGAAGAGAAACGAACATCATATTCATGTTCTTCAAAAAAAAAAAAAAAAAAAAAAAAAAAAACTGTTGAAAACATAACGTTAAAAAAAAAATAGAAAAAAAATATTTTCTTTTCTACGTGAATTACTGACGACGCGTAACAAACAATATTCTTATTCTTCGAATGTTATCAATTTTCCTAATTTATCTCGTTTAGTTTAAATATATAATTACATTCGTACTTACTATTTAACCTGATCTACATACGTGTATATATATATATGTATGTATGTACATACATCCATCACCTTCATTCATTTATCTTTAATCAATTAATTTAACGCAACTTAAAGTTTGACAAAGTTAATTCCTCCGTTATCGTACTAATTTACATATAGAAGCAGATAATAAGCGAAACTTTAGAAAATTGAAAAAAAATTATTATTATTATTATTATTATTATTATTATTAAAAGACGCTTATCGTCTTTTCGAAATAAATTATTCTCAATATTCATTCTCATTCGATATGAATGTGATTATTTTCGAGGGATGACTAATACATGCATATTAATAACTGTGTTTTTTTTTTATTTTTAACAATATTATTAACCAGTCGCTCGCGAAATTTTTAGTTCAATAGTTTCAATACGTATTCTAATACGGAATACGAATGAAATCTCGTTTTACTATCGCGCCATCTCGAAAAGAAAGAAACCGGTTGAAAGATTGTTTACATTGAAAGAAATAAACATCACTGTCGTCATTGCATCTGACTATCGTCTCTCTCTCTCTCTCTCTCTCGCTCTCTCGCTCTCTCGCTCTCTCTCTTTCTCTCATACTTTCGGTTTCTCTAGCCAAGTTATACGCAATCGTAGTTGTAACTTTAAAATATGTGACCATAAACATACTACATCGAATTCGTATTATATATTATAATTTTAAATATGAAATTCCGATACAATTCCTGCCTCCTCTTCCCCCCCTCCGCCTCCACGTTTCGCCTCCTATAAAGAATGAATATTTTTTTTGTCTTTTCTCTCTCTCTCTCTCTCTCCTTTACTAATCGTACACGCAACAATATTTTTTTTCTTCCTCTTGTTTTTCTTTTTCTCATTTTTCTCTTCTTCTTCTTCTTCTTCTTCTTCTTCTTTTTTTTCTTTCATTTTTTTTTCTTCTTTTTTTTTTTTTCTCATTTCACTTGATCATCATACTTCGTATTATCTTGTCACGCGCACGAACTGTTCCAACTTATTTTCAGATTAAAAATAATCTACAATTATAGATATGTACAAAGATAGATTGTGTTATATACGAACGAGATCTTCTTTTCGCAGTTTAACGTTAAGAGGATTTAACGAGTATTCGTTATACACTTTTAAATGCCTTTCCATAGATACATACTTATGTACTTATATAAAAGATTAGAACTATTCCATTCATATATATATATATATATATATATATATATATACATATATATATATAGAATAGAGAAAGTAGATATTCTGATAATACTATTCGACATTGGGATTTGGTCGGATTGGAGTTGGACTTGGAGTTGAAGTAAGAAGTTAAAAGGTGTATAGGGTGGGATAGGACGTTGGTAGGGATGAAGTAAGGTGGGATAAGATGACCAGGAGAAGGGAAAGAGGACGGAAGGACGATGTAAAAAAAAAAATAGTAGAAAGGTCGAACGTTAGCCTTCAAAGGTCATCTATGGATGTCGACGAACTCTGACAAAATTTCAAACGTATACGCGTGAACAAGAAATATTTAATATATAAAATCTACGTAGATAAGCGTTATTTTGGATCGACGAATTTTTTTATTCTTTTTAATTTTTTTCTTTTTTCTTTCTTCTTTTTTTTCCGAATAAAGAAACATTATTGAAATAATATCATAAAATATAGAATATAATTCATAGTTCATAGAATCATTTCAAAGATAGATAATGATGAATCTTTAAAGTACCTCTCTCTCTCTCTCTCTCTCTCTCTCTCTCTCTCGCTCGCTCGCTCGCTCGCTCTCTTTTATCTTTGTCTGTCTATCTGTCTGTCAATCTGCCTGTACACATCCTCTTTCAAGGAGATGTACAAAAGGTGGTAGTAAATATGTATGTACACGTACATACGTATATATATATATATATATATGTGTGTGTGTATTAGTATGTACCTAAGACTAATAACGTCTAACGCAACGCAAACACTCACCGAAATCGATGAACTGCTTTATCGAAAGTGGCGAAGGGTTGAACTGCGAGTAGAAATCTAGCATCTTGGTGATATTCCCGAAACACCTTCGTGTTAGCTTCATTTCGTCGCGCTTCGTAACACATTAACTTTATACCAGGATAAGTCGTATTTAACGTTCGTAACGTGACGCGCGCGTCGCGTTTGGACGTTGCCTCGCGCGCACACGGCCTCTTTACTCTCCTCTGCCTATTAACTCCCACCAACGACCTACCACCCGTCCGCCCACCACCCCACTTACTCACTCGCTCACTCACTCTCTTTCTCTCTCTCTCTCTCTCTCTCTCTCTCTCTCTAATTCTCTCTCTCTCTCTTTCTCTCTCTCTCTTTCTCTCGTTTCCTCTCTTTCTCTTTCCCTTCTTTCGCAAATATATAAGCAGATAAAAAATTGTAATATACGTATAACAGAACACCACACTTCTTTTTTTATTATACTATATTATATATATATATATATGTATATATATATATATATATACATATGTATTATGTATGTATGTATAATTATATATTTCTTGTCTCTCTTTCTCTCTCTCTTTCCCTCTCTTTCTTTCTGTCTCTCTTTGTCTCTCTCTCTCTCTTTCTCTCTTTTTCTCTTTATTCTTGCGTCTTATTATAATATAGTATTACATCTAATAACAATAAACGTATCTCTCTCGTACAACGTATTATTCGTACTGAAACTAGAAGTCACAGTGGCTGCCTCTCTAGAGAGGCTTCCTACTCTCTTACGAACGAATATTCCCATACACGCTCCACCTTTTCTTTCTTTTCTACGTAGTATCGTCTGAGCGACTGCGCGACCAATCGTCGCGTTGATATCGTGGAACGACCAGTATGGCGGGAAATTTGATTAACACGTACAAATTTTAATCGATTCCTCACGAAAAATATGAATTTATTTGTACGAAAAAAAGAATAGAAAAGATAAAGAGAAATGTAATTAATATTGTTTGGAAAAAATTTATTGATAATTGAATGATTAATGTGAAATTGTTGAAATAGTTTTAACGGGTTATTGATTTTTATTAAACGAGAGATTAATGCATTGTGAATTTTTAAAGAGCTCATAGGTGTGTCTGTATGGAGAAAGAAAAAAAAAAGAAAAAGAAAAAGAAAAAAAAGAAAGAAAAGAAAAACAAAGAAAAGAAAATATTATATAATGAACGGTGATAGTGGAGGAAAAGAGAAGGTATGGCTTTCACTCGATATCAGAAGTTGGATCGAATAACGATATATTTAAATCGACTTTTAATGTAATTCTATCTGTCATGTTTTATCCTATTGCGTGCAGTGGTGCGCGAGTGTAGTTCTTTTAAAGCGGAAGTGACGTATACTATTAGCAATGTCATCTACCACTGACCAGGAAGAGGAATAATTAACCTCTAAGTCGTTCACGTATTACAAGTACATATTCGTCGTTTAGGATATAATTTAGGAAATAAAACGTGATTCGTGATTATTTCAAATATTTTATAAAGCTTACTAAGCGAAATTACGTGGATGATTCAATAGAACATACGTAACGTACATTTTTTAGGTTAAGTAATCGTTGTATTTTTTTGTAAGGGTCTTCTGCTAGACAGACGGCGCCACATGCATTTGGATTCGATGAAAAGATTTTTAATATCGTTCGAGAAACTTTTTTTTTCAAACGTATTAACGATACGTCTCGAACGTAAAATATGATTACGTAGATCATTCATTTATTTTATCCGATCATAATTTGTTCGTAGAAATAATGAATATCGATCGTCGGTTTAGGTTATAGAAAGGTAATTGACTTCGGAGTCGTTGACTGACTTCCGGTTAAGACAAGCCCATGTGGACGGCAGCAGGGGTGCCCTGAGTTCAGTACGCGTTTCGACCGTGCCTCGTGTAGTCTCTCGTATTCATTCCCTTCTCGTTATTTTCATTTCAAATTTAACTTAAACGGTAAGAGTCTCGAAAGCACTCTCAGATATATATCATGGCGGATTTAGATGACTTCTTTGCGAAAAAGGATCGGAAGAAAGCCAAGGGTAAAAAGTTCACTACGACCGAGGAGGTAGCAAAGAAGCTGGAAGAAACGGGTAAACGTTCGGAAAAAATGAAATCAAAGGAAAAACCAATGAATCCGGAAGGCGAGGAAACTCAACAAATAGAGGTGATATTTCAATATTATTTATTGATAATATTATAACAAATGTGTTCCCATTATATTCGACTTTAGACTCCCTTTATGGGAAGAACAAGGCTAAGAGGACACACTGGTCGCTGCCATGTTTGCTTGTGCAAACGTCACTTCGGCTTCTAACGAACCTGCCTATAAAATTAATTCGCTTTCTCTAAATTTTCTTTTTTGTTACGATATTATTTGTAACTGATCCTAATTCGGGGGCGGGGGATTGTGGGCTGAGGGGGGTAAAGAACGAGATCAAGTGCGACGATTATATAACATTGAACGATAAAGTCGAGCGTAGATTTCTAAGTAAATTCGATGATTAAAATTTATATTTTTTAAATTGTAGATTTTTCGATACAGAGCCGATAATTTTTTATGATCGATAATTGATATCTCTCGCTTGCTCGTATACATTTATTCCATGTTCTCTCTCACTCACATACACACACTCTCTCTCTCTCTCTCTCTCTCTCTCTCTCTCTCTCTCTCTCTCTCTCTGTCTGTCTTTCTCTCTCTCTCTCTCTCTCTCTCTCTGTCTCCCTTTCTTTTTTTTTTACTTCTCCCTTTTCTTCTCTTTTTTACTCTACTCATTCCTCTGACATTTTATTTCTCGTACATTACATACATGTGCTCGTATGCGCACGTGCTTTTTTCAAACTCTTGCATAATATTATACAATAACATCGCAATATAGCTCGTATAAATTTGATTTGGCGGCGTCATATTCGTCAATGAAAATTATTCCCATCTAAGGAAATATTTTATTTTAGGATGAAGACGAATGGAAAGAATTTGAAGTTGAAGAGAAGAAAGATCTAAGAGGGTTGAAAATTGGTAACCTTTCGGTAAAAGAAACCATCGACGTGGAATCCGATGATGAACGAGGAACAGGCGACAATAGTTCTGACGGAGAAATTGGCGAAAATACAGTAAAAATTGGACCATGGAAGAAACCAGAAGTACTACAGCAGTCAGAGGTTGTAGAAGAGGTAACATCAGCGGCAGCTGCTACACCAGCAGTCCAAACAACATCAACGTATAGTTATGTACCTCCCCATTTGAGAAATCCTGTAGTAATGTCTGCACCAAGACCACGAGCTAAAAATGTAGCGCCTGATATTCATAGCGAAGAGTATTTCCCTACATTGAGTTCCAGGCCACAGAGCAATGAATCCACCGGTCCATGGGGTCGACGGTAAAGACACATTCATTTTACGTTCAATTTTTTTTCTTTTTCTTTTTTTTCTTTTTCTTTTTTTTTTTCATTTTGGTAACAAAAATCAATCATTTTAATTTTTTCCCGTCGAACTTCGATAAGAATTTAAGCAGGATATTTTTATCGTTACGTTCGTATACCGGAGTATATAATCCGTATATAAAAACAAAAAAAAAAAAAAAAGAAATAGTGAACTATACCAAACCTATTTTATTGCACTGCGTATATACATTCTTATAGGCCTAGTGCATATAAAATATAAATAAATGATGAATCCCATGAGACCTTTAATCCATAGGATTAAGGTCTCCGGATAATAATTTATTATAGGTACGTCATCCTTTATATCAGGGAGAATAATTCCTAATAACGGTATATCCTAAGTTTTAAAATTTTAATAACGACGGGAAAGAATCAATTTAACTTAATGAGTTGTACTTTTTTGATAGTAATAATAATAATAATAATAATAATAATAATAATAATAATAATAATAATAATAATGATACTTATTCTAACTGTATCAAATAACGAGTAATTTAATAATGAATGGAAAAATATATAGGAAACGAGAAGAAGGTACGTTCGAGGAAGTTCGTAATCGCGGTGGTAGCAGATCTTACAGTATCCAGGAGTCACAGGCTCAAACACCTAAACTCTCCCTTGGAAATAAGTATGGTGCCCTATCGCAAGATCAAAGCTGAAAGCACTCCTTGCGATTAGATCAGACAACGGACACGCATTGTTATATCATCGCCTCCTTTCCATTTCGTGGCCCAGCTAAGCCGCAAAACATTTCATAGGATATAGAATATTATGTGTACCATAGCATGCATATATATATACATATGTATATGTATGATATATGTATATATAAATATGTAAGCGCATAATGTACACCGTGTACATGTCCGTGTTTTGAAAAAGCCCAGGGCAAAATTCTGATTCGACTGGTAACAACAGGATTCATTGTGCTTGTGTAACAGGAGCAACTTAGGTCCTTCTAAGCATCGAACGACATTCTTACAATGAAATCGTATTTTACAAGTGAAAACTTATTTTCATACTGTGTGCTCAAATGTTAGCCTCACTTTTATATTTAATTTTATAAACTTGTAAGATTGTACTGCATCAAGAAGTATAATCGCGTCAAGATAGGAAAGAGAAATATAGTGCGGCGCTCAGATTCTCTCAGAGAATTTTTCTGTGAATATATATTAAATGTGGGAAATACTCTTATTAGTTCGTAACTGTGTGATCTATTTGTTTCTTTTTTTTTTCTGCTTCTGGTTCTTTTTTAATTTTTATTATCATTTTTTCTTCTCTTTTTTTTTTTTTTTTTTTTTCTTTTCTTTTCTTTTCTTTTTTCTTTTACTTCACATGGTGCTAGTTTTATTTAAAAGGAAATACAACGCCGTTATAAAATAATAAATCTTTTCTCTCTTTTTTTTTTTTTTATATATATATATATTACGTGTCTGTGTTGTTATTCGTTACGTAAACGCGCGTAAATCGGATATGACAATTGTTGGTTTCTATAAATTATATTTGTATGTGTCTCTCTTTTAATTATTCTTTATATTTTTTTTTTCTTTTTTTTTATTAAAACGGGTACGAAATATCGTGAAACGTTAAAATGAGGTCGTTCTTGATGGGACCCTCAGTACTCCGTTACGTTCTGTTATGCTCAAAGAAACTTAGGCGTCCGACGAATAAATGAAACATTTTAACGAATTTAAGATTCATAAAAGATCGGGCTAACAAATTTATAGGCTGGGCTTGGGAGCAGAATAAGAGAATAAAAATAGATGCAAAGTGGAACGTATCCGAGCATCATCGAAAGAAAATATGTGTATAGAAAGTACGTTGTGATCGCGATGGAAAAGATGAAATATATATATATATATATATATATAAATATAAATGTATATATATATATATATAAAAGATATCTTTTATATATATATAAATATAAATATATATATATATATATACACATAAAGAAGAAAAATTCATGTACGTTAAAAGAAAAAAAAAGAAAAGAAAAGATAAAGGAGAAGTGTGTATATATAAGATTTCGTTTGATGATTGTTTTGAATTTACTTTGTTGATTTAAAAAAAAAAAAAACAAAAAAACAAAAGAAAAGAAAAAAAAAGACTTCCTTTTTTCTTTCTATTCTCTCAAAAAAAGAATATATATATATATATATATATTATATATATTATATATATATTATATATATATATATATATATACAAAAAAACGAAGAAGAGAAAAACCAGAAAAAAGAAAAAGAGGAAAAGCTTAAGCGAATGGAAATAAAATTGAAACGCGAATTGAAATATGATGTTTCCTATGGATACATAGTTGGAATACATTTAAGAAGGCGGTGCTAAAAAGCTGTTATTTTTTGATGATATCATAAATGAGCCATACAGAATCGAATAATGTGTACAGTGAAAAAAAAAAATAATGAATTATGAGAATGTGATTATTTATAAATAAATATCCTAGAATTAGCTAGGAAGGTATACGTACTGCATCAATTATTTTTATTTTCTTTTTTTTTTTTAATTTTAGTCTTTTTTTTTATTATTATTATTATTATTATTATTATTATTATTTTTTATTGACTTTAGTCCGCACCACTCAAACTATTATCTATACGTAAAACGCTTTAAAGTGTCCATGTAAGCGTTTATTCCTATAAATATATAAAGGACAAAGTGGTGCAAAGTTAAACGGAGTAAACGTAATCCTTTCCGTTTTCGATCTCGTAATTGCAATTAATAAACAAAGAAAAATAAAAATATATATATATATGTGTACATATATATATATATATATTGCTCCATGTATCTCTGATCGCGTTGTTTTTAACGCCAATCGTTGTAAAAGAGCTTCTGCGTTCAGCTTCCAAAATATGTTGCAAGAGAAACTGCATAGTATCTCTCGAAGAAAAAAAAATAGAGAGGAACATTCGAATGATCCTAGCCGATTATGGCAATGGATGGCGATAAGGGGAAAAAAAAAAAAGGAAGAAGAAGAAATAATCTGCCTTCTGTTAACGGTATATAGTTGAAATTAGAATGACTTTATCGTTGCATGATTGAGAGCGAGAGAAAGAGAGAAAGAAAACAAGCGATAGAATGATATTTAAGAAAAGTAAATGACGAAAAGAAGAAATCAAGTTAGAAAGTGTTGAGACATATATATATACATATAAGAGAGAAAACGTGGCTATTGATAAAATGATAAAGGAAGTAAATAAAAATGAATCATCGAGAACGATTTTTTTGGGGTATAAGAATTTCCTTTCTGAATCCTAAATTATGCATTTATGTATTATGTACTATTGAAAGTAGAAGAAGAAGAAGAAAAAGAAGAAGAAGAAGACGAAGAAAAGGGATCAATAATTTTTCTTTTATAAAATCGTCGGTAAAGTCTATCGTTTCCTTATTTCGATGCGATATTAAATATTATATCGCATTATGTATATACAAATTTATATATATATATATCTATAAAATTTTATGGAAGTTTCTCGTCGTCCGATTTATTAACTCTGTTGATGTTTTTTTTTTTTTCTTCTGAATTCGCGTTAATCATTATCATAAGATTAAATCCTACACATTGATTCGTTTACTTTGTTTTTATATATATATATATATATATATATGTGTGTGTGTGTTTGTATGTATCTATATATATATATATATGTATATATCTTTTTTGTTTTATTAAAGAAAGAAAGAGAGCAAGAAATAGAAATTGTTAATGTACTTTTAGAGGTGAGTGTAAAACAAAGCTTATATTAAATATTAAATACTTTTTAGATCAGCTTAACTCGTTCGTTCTTTTCTTTTTTTTTTTCTTTTCTCTTTGTATTTACAGCTTCGATATACGTATGTTTACTTATATACATATATACATACATATACATATATATATATATATATATGTACATATACGTATGGTTATATATATAGATACTACGAATACAAGACCTCATCACAGATCGCGATGTTGAACTAAACAATAGTTACATTCGTATTTATTCGTGCATGACCTTGGACATTGTCAAAGTACGTCCTCATAAGTTGCTGTACTTACGTCGCTGTAAAGATAGCAGAAGAAAAACAATTGTCTATATATATATATATATATATATATATATATATATATATGTATATATGTATATATATATGTATATTTGGTATCATTCATCGAACCTCTCTTCTGTGATCAAATGTAGGATCGCGAACGTACTTTTCTCCATATTTTAATCCATGATCTCCCTCATTGCTGTAGGATTCGTACATCGGTCCTTCGAGTAAGGAAGCCTTGAATTTTGGTAAAAAGTAAATCCATGCTTTTGTTAACGAGCCGATCTAAAAAAAAAAAAATTATATAGATAATTATATAATTAAAAAGAAAACATGTTATATATACAGATACATATGTATTATCATATATTTATATCATCAAACAAATATACGTATATTTATTATCATATATATATTTATGTGTATATATATATATATATATATATATATATATAGTGTAGTATGAGTATATATATATATATATATATATATATATATATATATATATATATATACGTAAATCATTTATTATTATATTATTACATACTCATATGTATATGTGTGTGTATATGTATATATGTATGTATATATGTATGTATGTATGTATGTTTATATAAATTTATATAAAGAAATTCGATTTCTCGGTATATTGATAAATTTACCTCTTCGAAATTATTATTGGATTTGAATTTAGATTCTGTTGCCATGAGAACGTCCTCTTCCACACGCTCATAAAAATTTGGATGTTCCTCGAGTTCATCCAATCTCGTCAACATCTTCGAATCGACGTCGTATATCTCGCCGATCACATGCTACTCGTAAACAAAAGAGAAACATGTTAAGAAATAATAACATTTTCTTTTTTTTTTTTTTTTTTTTCGTTTTTTTCTTTTTTCTTTTCCCTCTTTTTTAGCAATATTTACGTGAAAAAGAGAGAAACATTTTTCATACGTTGTCGTAAAAAAATTCATATGAAATGGAGAATTTAATTGTTTTTGATTAAATAAAAGCAAATAATATTCTCAATGGAGAGAGAGAGAGAGAGAGGGAGAGAGAGGGAGAAAAATAAATTTATCGGTCAGCTAATGAAAAACATTAAAATCAATATTTAAAAATTTTTATAATGTACGTAAATTTTTATGATTTTTATAATCGAAAATTTTTTAATACAAAAAATAAAAAATCAAGTATTATCAACTTTTATATATAAATATAAATGTAAATGTAAATCATTGATATAATATAAAATTTTGGTGAGCTTGATTTTGAATTTTTTTTTTCTTCCTTTTTTTTTTTTTTTTTTTTTATAATAATAATAATAATAATAATGTTTGCACTTACATGACCGATTCCTGGTTTTTTCAATAAAAATGGAATGTTGTATTTAGTAGCAATTATCAATGGATAAGATGACGTAGTTCTAGCAATTCCAAGAAATTTTGCATATCCATTAGCCGTATCCTGTATGAGTTTATGATTTGGTTCTCCTCTCTTCAAGGTTCCATATACGAATATACGATGCAAAGGATTCTTGAACAGATTTTCGTACATTTTCTTTCTTAAATATTTCCTCTCTCTCTCTCTCTCTCTCCCTCTCTTTCTCTCTAGACTCCTCCTATCTCTCTTTCTCTTACGCGTGCTTTCTTATTTATTTATAATTTTTTTTTGGTACTTTTTCGATCCTTTTAAATTATTTCATTTAAAGTATATAATAAGTCGTTTAAGTATTATACAAGTTAACACGCACAAGGCAATAAAAATATAACGTTTATCTTGAAGTATCATAAATAATTAACTTGATGGGTAAAGTTGAACCAAACAAAAAACACATTTCTATTTATGTCTATCAGATGTCACTGTGTACGACGAGGAAAAAAAAATATATATATAAATATATATATATATATATATATATATATATTTATAAAGAATAAAATAAAATGAAATAAAATAAAATGTAAAGATCGTGATAATGAATATGATTAAAATTTATCTTACGTTATATTTCTGACGAACGAAACTCACGTCCCTTTATGACTTTGATCAACGTTAAAATGTCGGATTAGCCGTAAGTAGTAATAGTCGATTTACAATACGTTGTATTTTTGGTTACATTCCAATGAAAGTAATAATACGAAGAGCCAATTCGGGATTTTATTGGTCATGAAAGATGAGAATGAACGATGGCACACTAAGACGATATTGTTCACGTGAATCCAGTAGTATTTTATAATACCATATATTATACGACAGATGTCGCTGGTGTCGAATGAAAATTCACGTTTATATATACATATATATGTACATGAATATATGTATATATATTTAAAAATAGCCACGTACGCTTCGTATTTATGCATATTTATATATATATAATTTTTTTTTTTTTCGTTCGAAAGTGCAATCACATTTGCGTTATCATTTATTTTACACTTTATCGTTAAATTACTTTTAAAGCAATACAAAAAAGAATTTTATATTTTATTCATTCATTCATTTATTTATTTATTTATATAATTGTATATTTATGTAAATAGTTTTTATATTTGTTAGAATGAAAAGAAATAAAAACAATGAAAAAAAGGAGAAAAAAACACAAAAGAAAAGAAAAAAAGAACAAAGCAAGAGGAAACGAGGAGAGAGAGAGAGAGAGAGAGAGAAAAAAAAAGAAAAAGAATTCATCGAAAGATAAGAAAAATGAATGAAAATTACCTCGTTTAGAAAGTTCGAATCGATCATCGTGTTGTAAGTATATATTGAATAAAGTTCCAATATAAAGATGTTCGTTAATATGGCGGTCGATGCAACGTGAAAGATCATAGCTCTCTAAGACGTTTTATAATAGATATTATCGATGAAAGGTGTACGAGACGTTAGGAAAAGGCGATAGAAAGAACGCGTTTAAAGCGAAACTCGTCTCTCTGTATATGTAAGAGAATATTGTCGGTCAGCGACTCGTGGGAAGTCAACAGTTCTAAGTTCGTTCGATAAGATCTTCCAAGCAAAGTATACGTCACTTTGTATTTCCCAAGAATCACGTCACTTTGTATTTCCCGCCAATCACGTTTCGAATTTGAAAGAAATTTTTCTCCTTTCTTTTTTTCCACCTCGTCACCCAAATAATCGTCATTGTTTTTCTTCTATCTAATTTCGTTTGTCCTCGTTGTCGCGTGTCCGATGTTTTCCTTTTTTGCCTTTTCTTTCCCTTACTTAATTTTCTATTTTTTATTATATTTTTTTTTGTTTTTTTTTTTGTTTTTTTTCTTTTTTCTTTTCAACGTTATCACTCGTACGTAAAAGAATTAAATCATTTTTCTCATAGATCATCGTTTTCCAATATAATCGAATCTTCTAGATCTTCGGATCGAGACAAATATTCGCCAGCTTGTCTGTACCGTAAGACTTCTTCGAGTTCAATTAAATATTTTTCATCCTCTTGGTTAAACTCATTTCCCTGATATTAAAAGAGAAAGTTTTGTAATAATTGACTCGTTGGTAAATCGATTATGAAAGACAATTACCTCTATTCTTACATAAAGGAGGCCTTTGCTCGTATCATTCAACATCATATAAGTCTGATAATGTAAGCAAGCTAATAATTGTTTAATAATTACACCAGATAAATGATTAACTGTAAATAATATATATATATACACTATAAATAATAAAATAATATATATACGTATATATATATATTTTTTTGTTCTTCTTCTTTAATTAATCGTATCAATTTTAATATTATAATAATACATACAACTAATATTTAAATGTTTTAATACAAAATTTCCACTTGTTCTTATGACTCCACCTGTGGCTGTACTTTCTTTGCCAAAAGGATGATCAATTTCTATGGGTGAATCTTTTTTCGACGCCTTAAGAAAAAAGAAAAGAAGAAAAAAAAATAGAACAATGCAATATCGCGTGTAATGAATTTTAGTAGAATCATTTTTTTTTTTTTTTTTTTTTTTTTTTTTTAAGAGAAACTTACTGGAACTCGGGATATATTTTTAGAATTTTCCTGCACCGTTATCTTGGAAGAACTATTCGAAAGCGAGACTATCGCGAGATCATTTATGTATGTATGTATGTATATATATATATATATCAAAGAATGCAATTATTAAAATGTTGATGTATTTATGTAATTCATACGTTTTTTGGATTTATTCGATTTTTTCGAAACCTTGTTGTTCCTTCTCGTCTGTAAAATATCCAAGTTCGGTGAATCTTCAACAATTTTAGATAGTTCATTTTGGTTCCTTTGATTTAAATCGATTAATTTTTTTTCTCGTAATATCAGAGCATCGAATCTACGTCTACGTAGATCCACGATCTCATTATGCGTTAATTTCGACCTAATTTGTAATAAAAAGTTAATAGAAATTCTTGAATGTGCATTGTTAAATTCTTTGATAGAATAATCGTGCTTTTGAACTAACATATTAAGTTCTTGGATTATCAAACTGGCACCGTCATCGCATATCCTGTTTCCTGTTAATATCAGACTTTGAACAGAACTGCAATTGGAATTAAGAAAATATAATTCAATTTGTTAAAATCATTTGAGTTTAATATCGGGGGAGAAGAAATTCTCTCGTACCGATTTGTTCGTAACATTCGTCCAATTTCTAATGCTCCTGGATCACCGATACGATTATTTGCTAGATTAAGAGCTAACAATTTTGGTTCGTTAGGTGGATCAGCGTATTGCAATTCGTCTGCTATTTTTTTAACTCCTTCATCTGTTATCTTGCAGAACTGCAAAGATAGATATGACAAGCTAAAGAAAAAAAAAAAAAAAAAAAAAAGTGCAGGCTTTATTTTAATCAAATAATAATATTTAATATAATATATCAGCGATAATATTTAAATGTTCACCTACTTTCCAACAGATTTACATAACAAGTGATAATTTTCTTGTACGTTTGGATTTCCATCCAAATTCAAATCTCTCAAGCAATTGAAATCCATAAGCATGCAATATATTTGCATAATACCGTATGCATTTATGCCACAATTTGATAATCTATCGAACGTAAAAGTTATTAATTTATTTTGATAATCGTAATGATATGAGATTCTGGATTTGATTATGTTCACCTTAATACAGTTAGTGTACGATAATTTTTTAATGTCGAATAAAGAGCATCCAAAATATAAATTGATACTTCCTGTCGTATAATATCGAGAAATTATTAAATATATTAAAATTGTATTATCTTGTAAAGATATTGATATGACTTATCTTTGCATTCGAATTTTGTCAAAGTTTCCAATAATTTTGGATTTTCATAAGTTAAATAAAAAATAGGGTCAGCCACTTCGTTCTCTGTTCTTAAAATAGAAAAGAAATATATCGTTATATTTAGATATCGATTTACGGTGAAATATTACCGGTAAAGTTCGCGCGAAAATAATGAAGCTACGCTAATATTTGTTTAGGATCCGTTATCGAGATGATTCCTTCCAGCTGAGGAAATTGTTGTGTTAGTTTCACGTCAGTCGTACTATTTTTTATCTAAAAATAATTTCTTTAAGTGTTCCTCCTTTGTCATTACATTTATCAATTCTTTTTTTTTCCTTTTCTCGTTTATTATTTACCACAAATTTAGGTGAACAACCGATCTCGTATTCCTTGCAATGTAATAAAAATTCCATTAAGAAATTCACTTGCGATAACCTTGACGTTTCATCTACATAAGAAAGAAGAAATAAGTAAAAAAGAAAACAAAAAATTAAATAGAAAAAAAAAGAAAAGAATAGAAATAATTTAATCGACCGAATCGACTTTATTTTACAGATCATATTAAATCTTGAAATATTTATTACATACGTACTGTTCACCGACATGGATTTTTCTTTCATCGATAAATTATATCTATTTCTTTTTTCAGCCATATTTTATCGCTGTAAAAAATTGATTAATATTTTAATATTAATATTACGTACGAGACGTATATAAATATAAATATTAAATCCTAACGATGTCATTCAATAAACAAACAACTTCATATTATAGTTTTAACGAAATTCGACAAATCGATACTATACGTATATATGTGAGAATGATTAATTTACAATGGTGTAACATTTGACGTTCATTTAGGGATTTTTTTTTCTTTTTTTTTTTTCTTTTTTTTTTTTTCATAGAAGTAATAAATTCGAAGGGAAGGTTGGCGCCTAGTCAGCTAGCCCTTATGGCAAGAACGATGTAATTTGACGCCTAGGAAAACGCCTGGGATAAGGGACAACCCCAATGAAGTGTATACAAAGAAAAGCTATATATACAAAAAAAATGTATCGAACGATTTTTACTACCCTATAATATTCTCTCGGCATCCTTTTGTTTGAAATTTTGCTCCCTCTTATTTCGTGAATACCACTCGATGCTTCGTCTGATTATCGTCATTTATGAGATTAAAGTTCGTAATTACGATATTCCGAAAAGTCCAAGGGGGATGATTATTACAAAGGCTTCACGATGGTCTAAAGGGACGCCATTTATGATGGCTACTCACTGCATCATACCATTGAAAATATTAGTAACATCGAAATTTTGTAATTTGATTTTTTTTTTTTTTTATACGTTAATTATATACATACAAATTGTAAACGCGTTGAACTTTTGTTTCTTATTTTATTATTATTATTATTATTATTATTATTATTATTATCTTTCTTTCTTTTAATTCTTTTTTCGTCGTGAATAATCGTAATCAATTTTTATTTTATAAATTAGATCATCGATCTATTTATTAATTCTTCATATATATTATAGAATGATCGCGATTCGTCTTTATATAAAAATTTTGACGTCCATATATAATTAATTTAGATTAGATCACTTTGTATAATATTATTTTACACAAAATTTCCATTATATATTTTAATTATGAAAAGGATTAAAACTGTTCATCGCATGTGCGTTATGTTAAATAAAAAAAAAAAAAGGAGAAGAAAAAGAAAAAAGAAAAAGAAAAGAAAATAAAGAGAAAAAAGAAAGAAAAGGCGAAAGAAAAAGAAGAAGAAGAAGAAAAAAAAAGAACGTTGGACCTAGGAATGATGATCGGGAGGGGTTTTTCCTTTTTTTCTTTTTCTTCTTTTTTTTCTTTTTTTTTTTTTTTTGTATTTTTAGAAAAGAAAAAAATGACTTGACGGCCGAGAACAGGCTGTCGCTCGGCGGTAGCCCTTATGCCAAGCTTCATGCTCGTCGAGTTTGCGCTACATTGTAACGGCGCTCTTCGAGGCCACAACTACTCTCTTCAGTTTAGCTCAGCGCTCGGACCGTGTCGCTTCGTGACGCTTTGGTATCCACGCTCCTGTGGATCCTTCCGATCTGACAGAAGAGATCTTTCTCTTTCTCTCTCTTTCTTTATCTCTCTCTCTCTCTCTTTCTTTTTCTCTTTTTCTCTTCTTTCTCTCTCTCTCACTCTCTCTGTGTCTCTCTCTCTTTTTCTCTCTGTCTCTCTCTTTCTCTTTCTTTCTCTTCCTCGATTTTCAGTCGCTAAGTAAAATCGTGCCGGTGAAAGATAAAGTTCCTTCTTCTTCCTCTTCTTCTTCTTCTTCTTCTTCTTCTTCTTCTTCTTCTTCTTCTTCTTCTTCTTCTTCTTCTTCTTCTTCTACTTCTTCTACTTCTTCTTCTTATTCTTCTGTTTGGATTATCAAGGGATCTTAAACAGTGTGAAATTCATAAAAGGTAAGCTCTTTCTATTAATTTAATGCGCTTCTTCTAATTCGATATTTTTTTTTAAATCGTCGATATTAATATCTAACGTGTATGATATTAAATAACAATGAGTTTTGTGATAGAAGAAGAAAAAGAGAAAAGAAAGAAAGAAAACAAAAAAAAAAGAAAAAAAGACATCTTGAACATTTACTTTTAGATTAGAAGATAGGGAGAAAAAAAATATTCTTCGTAATCTTTCTTTTTTTTCTTTTCTTTTCTTTTCTTTTCTTTCCTTCTTTTTTCTTCTTTGAAATCGTTCCATCGAAAATTAATTTGTCATTTGGCAAATCCTTAATGATAATTATCTCAATTTTCGTATAAACTTCATCGATATCGAAGATTACGATCACGTAATATAAACTTTGCATTTTTTGTTTGTTTTTCTTTTCTTTTTTTTTTTCTCTCTTCTTTTCTTTTCCTTTCTTTTCCTTTCATGTGAACAGCAACGTCTATCAATTTTATGAATTTATGAGTGTTTACATCGTACCGTCAGGCAGCATCGTAATACCAGGTCAGCGCTATGAATTATGCATCTCGTCGAACGGTTTAGGGTTTCGTCCCTTTTCTTAGACTTTTTTCTTTCTTTTTTTTTTTTCGAAAGATGACTCGCACTTTGACCGACCCCACTTGTTAGAACATAACTCTCGTTAATATTCATTTTCGTTGCAGCTATTACGATAAAATAAGTTCTAATTTTGAGTGAAACAATTAATTAACAAATTTATTCGAATAATAACCCTTTTCGATATTAATTCTTTCCTAATATATTTTTAACTTGAAAAATTTCTCTTTACTTCATTTAATTCGTAATAACCTTGGTGAAAATTCAAAAATTACGCCTGTCTTATCGTATGATTAATTGTCTCATCAGTGAAATCAGATATATGCATAGTTTGGGTCTGATTCACGTGGAGTCAAATTAATTTCGAATAACGAATGAATAACGCGTGAAATCTTTTATATTTGATATAATAAAAAGTTCTTTTATTTATATTTGATATAAATAAAAGATTGATGGAAAATATATTCTTTTTCTTTTCTTTTCTTTTTCTTTTTTTTTTCTTTTTTTTTTTCTTTTTACTAACAACTCTTTTTCACTGAAATATTTCGATTCGGACCCTTTGCAACGTTCTCTTTATGATTCAGCCGAAACTCGAATGGCATTTCCTACGAATTCCTTTCACCGTTGAATTTAATAGACTCTGACTCTTTCTTTGTGCTTCGCCGTTGATCGTAAAACTTAAAAATCTGCTTGATATTTTTTCAAGCCATTAAAAATGGATTATTTGCAGTAACGAAATAATAACGTTATCGTAACGAAAGATCGAAATACATTTATGAAAGAAGAGATAAGAAAGATAAAAGATAAATTTAAAGAAGATACGTCTCCTCCCCGTCCCGATCCTCCCGTTCCTCCAACAACCCGACATCACTTTTTTTCAAATGAATTTACTTCCGATCGGTAAGATTCGTAATTTCGTAATACTTATCAGCGCTTCACAGGTGATCAAGTAAAACTTGAAAATCTACTTCTTAGCGTACGAAAAACATTGAGATGAGAAAAATTTCCATTTGGTGACGAAATTATTCATATTGTCGAAAGATCGAAACGCATTTATTTTTTGAATGAAAGATAATAAGGATTAAAAAATAAATTATAAAAAGGGAAGGGGAGGATACGTTTCCGTCACTTCCCCCTCTCCATCCCTCGTTCCACTCGAAATCCAATCGATTTACGTTCGATCCGTGATAAAGGAATCAAAATTAGTATGTATAAAAATAGTACGTATCAACTTAGCAGCTGGATCGTAAAGCTTGAAAATTTTGTTGTTGTTTGAAAAAGAAAAAAAGAAAAAAAAAAGAAAAAAAAACAGAAATTGTGTCTAGCGTCAGAAAGTATATGTTATCGTATCGATAGATCGAAACAGGTTTATTTATGAAAAAGAAAAGATAATAAGGTCATACGATAAATTTACAAAAAAAAAAAAAGAAAAAAAAAAGAAAAAAAAAAGAAAAAAAAATAGAGGGAATACGTTTCCTCCCCTCTTCCCACCATCACCACTACTTCCCTCTCTTACATTTGAACCGATTTACTTCCGATCGGTAAGAATCGTGATTTCGTAGTACGTATTCAGCTTCCCACGCAAACGTAGTCTCGATTCAGGGTCTTCATAGTTGTATATCTCGTATTACATACACGTACAACGAGCACGTATCTATCTACGTATGTTAGAGAACTACCTTATTGGGTTAGTTTAATGGCTAGACACGTTCCATGCACAGGGCATACTTTATGTTTTCCCATATTTGCCGATCGATTCAAGTCAACATTTAATACGATCACCATAAACGATATCGAGAACGATATGCCATATAGAAAGATTTTTGGCGACGTTCAAATTCGTAATAAATAGATAAGATTCTCGCGAGAGTAATGAAATATCTTTTCGATGTAATTTCTTTCCTTTTCTTTTTTCTCTCTCTCTCTCTCTCTCTCTCTCTTTTTTTTTATTTATTCTTCGTGGTCTCTAATTTCTTTTCCCTTTTCTTTTCCACGCCTTTCTTTTTTCTCTCTTTATTTTTTATTCTTTCGTTTATTACGAAGAAAGTGTTAGATGATAGAGTTCCATAGGCAATACGTTGAACGACGACAGATTGACAAGTCAATAATCATTACGAATTATTTTGTGATTTTAATCAATCGTTGTTTAAACTTTTCGATGGATAACATTCCTTAGGGGCGGAACGGGGGAGGGAGGAAGACGGAGAAGTACGATCATGCCGCGACTGGTGGAAACGCATACAAAGGATAAATCGTTATAAAAAAGCGTCCCCACGAAGATCAAATCGTACTTCCAGATGCGAGTTTAGTTTCGACTGCCAGAGCCGACTACATTACGAGCGTGCCGGGCTTGTAAATTCACCTCTTCTTTTCGTTTGTTTTTCTTTTCTTTTCATTTTGTTTTTTCTTCCTTCTTTCTTTCTAGTTCTTTTTTTTTTTTTCCTTAAGAAAAAAAAAAGAAACCGAATGCGAGAGAGAGAGAGAGAGAGAGAGAGAGAGAGAGAGAGAGAGAGAGAAAGAGAAAAAGAAAGAGTTGTGGGGGGCGGCGACGGGGGAGGGGGCAATCTCTTTTTTTTTCTTTTTGTGTACCCATAGAAGGAATGCGGGCGACTCGTGTCCGAAGAACGACTCGTCGAACAAAAGATAGACTCCCGCTTCTTTTTTTCTTTTTTTTTTTTTTTTTCTTTTTTTTCTTTTTTTTTCACTGACCATCAGCCTCGCGACTCGTTTTATACTCGGACTGTTATCAAAATTCGACGATAACGATCGTAACCATTAATAATCCATTAGTAATCCATTAGTCGTATGATCGTTTAGAATAATTCGAGAGGGAACTTATGCCGTAATAATTATACGTAATTTAAGACGAAAATTAAGGAGGAAAAAAAGATTTTTGAAAGATATTACATCATGGAGACACATAACATGGCGAGCATATATCATTCGGTGCTTATCAGATCTTCTTATTTCTAAGATTTTCTTTTTTTTTTTTATCTTGGATCGTAAACTTCGTAACCGTACGAGTTACACAAACGAACTGTGACGTTCGTTGTTCTCTTGTCTACTAACATAGATATATCTAAGCTTATTCGGTAGCTTCTCTTTTTTTCTCTCTTCTTTTTTCTTTTTTTTTTTTTTTTTTTTTTTTGTAAATAATCATACTCGGAGTCATTCGCTCAGTCACTCTCGTAGCAAAGCTCAAACGATCACGGGCGATGCATTTTAATTGCAACAAGATAGGTAGTTAGCGAGCTAAAGGGAAACTTTTGTACGCCGTCTACGTTCGCAAAGTAAACACAAAAATGGACGAAAGCCTTTGAATGAAGAATAACGAAGAGAGTCGTGGGACGAATATCCTTGAAAGAAGAAGAAGAAGAAGAAGAAGAAGAAGAAGAAGAAGACAACGGCGAAAGAAAGAAAGGAAGGAAGAAAGAAAGAAAGAAAAAGGAAAAGACAAAAGAAAAGAAAATTGAATCGGTCGTACTCTTATCTTTCATCAGAGTTCATTGAACCAACCGAGCGTCCCCGATTTTGAACCCACCGCCTGCGTCATTGCTGCCTACCAGTACGGTGAAACATCGAATCTGTTGATTTTGCTCGTTATTTTAGTTTCCCCTAGACTTCGGTAGACTTCTTGCAAGAGAGAAAGAGAAAGAGAAAGAGAAAAAGAGAGAGAGAGAGTGAGAGAGAGAGAGAGAGAGAGAGAGAGAGAGAGGGATGAGTCCCAAAATATGAGAGGGTCGATGAAAATTGAAAACATTGAACAGATCGTATCAAATAAAATGACACCGTTCGTTTAATCTAAATATTTAAGAAATATATTTCGAAGAGGTATCACTTTTTTACTTAAAAAAAAAAAAAAAAAAAAAAAAAAAAAAAGAAAAAAAAAAAAACGTAAAAAAAAGAAAGAAAGTAATAAAAAGACAAAAAAAAACTTATGAGACAAATTTATGATATGTTAATCATCGATTTTATGACTATTTTCAATTTTCTATCCAGCATACGTCAACAATGTCGGCGGGAATCGTTTGGGTAACATAACGTGATGCATTCTAATATCTCGATTAGGGTGCACATCGATGCGACCAGAGTCTCCCTCTCTCTCTCTCTTTCTCTCTCTCTCTCTCTCTCTCTCTCTCTCTCTCTCTCTCATCATTGCAGCTATAGAGAAACGACGAAACGTGTACCAAGAAACGGACTCTTGCCAGAAGGATCTTAAAACGATCTCGTCGCTATCTCTCTGCGGAATGGATTCGTAATCGTTTCTGGTAATACGTTCCCTGAAAACCAGAAAGCAGGAATAGTCGTTATGGTACCGGTGCCACGAATAGAATCGCTAAAATGTCTAACCGATATCCGTATAAATATATCCGCTTTCTACGTTTCAAACGCAGTGAATAACAAACGT